GGGAGTGGGCAATGGCCATTCTACTTCCTGGCAATGGCCATCTCCTTGCAGCTTAGAGGCTGCTGGCTTCTGGTGGACTGTCAGGAAGAAAACTGCATTCATTGTTGGATGTGACTGGAAGACAGTTGATTCTGAGAACCATCAGAATTATTCCAACTGATTGCTGTGGAGTCTCTTTGAAGCCTGGAGAGGCATGGGTTGGAGCATGAAGCTTCCTCTGTCTTTCTACTCCCCACCTCCAAGTACTTGTCCTGTTTGAGCAGAGAGTAACCTAAGGTCCTGTTGGAAGGTTTCCTTCCTTCTACAGTGCAGAGAGGGGGAATATGGAAGGTGAACGTGCAAGTATTAGCAGCCACACTATAAACAAGGAAACTGAGGCCAGGGAGGGGGGGGGAAGGAAATAAATGTTTTTTCTGTGCTTATTCTGTGCCAGCCACTGAGCTGGGACATACTTATTTCTTAGTCCTCCCAACACCCTTTTAAGGGATAAAACATTTCCCCCAGCCTGGCCAACATGGTGAAAGCCCGTCTCTACTAAAGATACAAAAATTACCCGGGCGTGGTGGTGGGTGCCTGTAATCCCAGCTACTCAGGAGGCTGAGGCAGGAGAATTGCTTGAACCTGGGAGGCGGAGGTTGCAATGAGCTGAGATCACGCCACAGCACTCCACCCTGGGCGACAGAGCAAGACTCTGTCTCAAAAAACAAAACAAAACATTCACCCATGTATGGGTGAGGAAAATGAGGGTCAGAAAAGTTAGACGACTGCACCAAGGTCACACAACTAGCAGATGTTTAAGCTGATATTCAAACAAAACTCCATCTATCCACTGTAAAATGTCACATGGTTTGAAATGGTGGAGCGGCGTGCTCTAAAGTTTGCTGGGCCTCAGCAGTGGCCCCTTAACCTGGCTGGTTACCTCATGGTGTTCAAAAAACTATCCTGAACATTATCCCTGTGAAACTGATTCAGTGGGTCTAAGGTAGAGTCTGAGATTATGTTTTTTTTTTTTTTTTTTTTTGAGACGGAGTCTCGCTCTGTCGCCCAGGCTGGAGTGCAGTGGCGCGATCTCGGCTCACTGCAAGCTCCACCTCCCGGGTTCACGCCATTCTCCCGCCTCAGCCTCCGAGTAGCTGGACTACAGGCGCCCGCCACCACGCCCGGCTAGTTTTTTGTATTTTTAGTTAGCCAGGATGGTCTCGATCTCCTGACCTCGTGATCCACCCGCCTCGGCCTTCCAAAGTGCTGGGATTACAGGCTTGAGCCACCGCGCCCGGCCGAGATTATGTATTTTTAAAAAGCTCTTCCAAGTGATTCTGATGTCTTGGAAAGCACAGGGCTGGAGCATGTGGCTTCTCTTCTGACCCAAGTCTCTCAGGACATCTTCATTTCTCAGAAGCACAGATCTAGTCCAGACCTGCATTTACCTCAAGTAACATTTGCCACTGAACCCATTATTCATTTATTCCAGGCTCAATGCTCAACGTTTTCTGAGTACCTACAATGTGCCAGGCATGGTGCTCGACATTCTGACTGCAAAGATGAATATAATACAGTGCCTGTCTTGAGGAACACCCAGGGTGTGCGGGAGATGAATGTAAACTAGAAACTACAATTTGTTGTAGCAAAAGCTAGGCTGAGGTAGGCTTGTGTTGCTTTAATAATTCAGACTAAAGGACCAAGGAAGGCTTTCTAGCAGTAATCCTGAATCAAGGCCTATAGAGCTAGCAAGGCGAGAGAGGACTGAAGGGCTAAGGAATAGCCAGTGAGGCAGAGGGAAGCAACAGCGTGGAAAGGTCCAGAGACCCAGCACAATGGTTCAGGGCAGCACAAGATGTTGTGCAGCAGTGGAATGTAGGATACTTTGGGAAGAGGACCAGGAAGTGAGCCTGGAAAGATCAGTGGAGACAAAACATGAAAGACCGTGTGTGTTGTTAAGGCATTTGGCCTTTATCCTAAAAGTGACGAGGCGCCATTAAAGATTTTATTTTTTTCTTGAGACAGAGTCTCACTCTGTCGCCCAGGCTGGAGTGGAGTGGCGCCATCTCGGCTCACTGCAACCTCTGACGCCCAGGTTCAAGTGATCCTCCTGCCTCAGCCTCCTGAGTAGCTGGGATTATAGGTGCCTGCCACCACACCCAGCTAATTTTTTTGTATTTTTAGAAGACATGGGGTTTCACCATCTTGGCCAGGCTGGTTTTAAACTCCTGAGCTCATGATCCACCCACCTTGGCCTCCCAAAGTGCTGAAGTTGTGAAGTGACATGGTCAAATTGTGTTTTGGAAGGGTCACTCTGATAGAAATAAGAGAATGAACTGTAGACAGAAGCCGGCAACAGAGGAACCAATTAATTGCAGAATTAAGAATTTATGTATGTCAAAAAGCACCATAAACAAAATTTGAAAGCAAAGCACTTGGAAAGCATATTTGCAGCATTTCTTGACAAAAATAATATTCTTAATAAAATTACAAATTGATAATAAACATACCGATATCAAATAAATAGAAAATTCACAAAGAAAGAAGTACAAATGGTCAATAAGCATATGAAAATGTTATTCGCGAAGAGTCAAAGAAAGTTAAAATAACATTGACATACTATTATCCCAGCTATCAAATTGGTAAAGATTTGATAAGTGATGATACCTAGTGTTAGGGTGCAGGAAACAGGGTACTCTCTAGACTCCAAATAGGAGAGTGTTTTGGTACAAACTTTCTGGAGGGTGGTTGGCAACATGTATCAAAATTCTTAAAAATAGCCAAGCAAGTCTCTTCTTGGAGTTTATCCTAAGGAAATAGTTATAGACATGTGCAAAATTTAGCTACAAGAATGTCAGCTGCAACACTATTTACAATAAAGATTGGGAACAAATGAAATAATCACTATTTGGTGACTGATGATAAAAAAAGGGTCCATCCGTATAAATGAAGATGCTGTTGAGAAAGTTTGATATGCAGAAAATGTTCATGATATTATTAAGTGAAGGAATAGAAGGAACAAAAAACAAAAAGTGTCCAATATGCTGCCATTTGTGTGTGATAAAAGAATATATACATATGTTTGACAATGTGTAAGCATCTCCAGAAGGATGTAAAATAAATTAGAGGGAAACTAGATGCTGGCAGACAGGGTAGGGAGAAGATTTACTTCCGACTACAGAGCAGTTTGTACTTTTTGAATCTTGTGTCTGTGTATGTATTACATATTCTAAAATATAAATACACATTTGAAAAGTTATTAAAGAGTATATTCAGTGTGATCCAGTTTTTGTTAAAAAAAACCCACAACTGTGCGTGTGCATGTGTACATTTACACCAAAAAGAACTAAAAGGTATATTCAAAAGAACACACATTTGTCTTGGGTGGTAAGCTTATGGATTGGATTTTGTCCTTTTTTCCCCTAAAACTTCTACAATACACACATGATGCTTTCACAATAATTAAAAAACATTAGTTTTTCCCCCAAAGAGTCCATCGCAAAAGTCCAGGCAGGGGATGACAGTGCAGGTCAGATGCATGATTAGTACTCCAGTTATATAGGTCAGCAGTGACATCCACAAAGTATGGAATTAAATCACAGTTCTTGTTTTGGGGAGGGATGAGGAGAAGGAAGCTGAAGATTTGGTAGGGAGAATGAACCTGGTTTTGTGCTCTAAAGCCTTTGTTGGACAAATGCACAGAAAATTCAGCCCTGTCACCCCAAACATCAACCAATACCCCAGGTAGCTTTTTTTCTTTGGGATTATTTAACTTCGGGTCACAGTGAATGGAGTTCCAATAAGCCTGTATATCTAAGTTAACCAAATAAGCAGATGACCTGGACGCTTGTTCTATGAGGTTCTGAGAGGCTGTCCTCATTTCGTTCTGGTTTTTGATCTTTCTACATAGGATGGCTACAATCATATCCCCAACTGTCCAGCCCTGCCCCAGCACACTCATGTAAACAAGACCTCTCTCCTGTCTCTGCATGTGGAATAATTACTCAGAGTCCTTCCTGACGCATAAAGACCAAGGGGAGACCCTGGCAGTTTGAACTGGTTCTCCGGGTGACCTCTGCCCTTCTCTTCATCCTTCAGATCCTAACAAACTATCTGCCAAATCACAAACGTTCTAAGTTGGAGGCTTGGGAATGGGGGTGGGGGTCGGGGGGTTTGAACACATGCCCGTGTGGGGCCATAGGGTAGTTTTGGGTTAGGGTCATATAAAGCCAGCTAGGAGGAAGAGGAAAGACAGCCTAACATAGTAGGGATTGGGGAGAATGTGGCAGCTGAAACAGCTTCTTCCTTTTCCTCTTCTCCAGAGAGTGAGCTCTAGGTGAGTAATGGCAGGGCCCTCAATATTTCCAGCACCTTCCCCGTACCCCCCATTGAAAGCCTTTGGCGAACTATGTGAATATAACTTACGCTGCTCTCTTCTGGGCCCCTGGGCTGTGATTGGATTCTGCTGTGGTGGGGCATCTGCTTATATAATTAACCCATATTTAACTTTGTGTTTCCTTTCAGTCTCAGTTGTGACCCTTTCCCAATGCTGGGGATGGGTGATGAATGCTAGAGGAGTTGTTGGGATACATGCTGGCTCCATCAGTAAGTAGAATGAGCAATACATAGACATAACTACTGGACCTCAGCTGCCTTTTTCTGACCTGTCACTGCTCTGACCACTAGGGATTCTGGCCTCTGGTCTTTTTGGGCCCTTGAGTAAATACATGAGAAAGCCATGTACTATCACTGACATCATGAACACTTTTCACGTTAATACATATAGTCCTGTTCTCAAATGGTTATAATTGCCCAATATTATACTTATAGAGAGGCAACTAAGTATAGCATAGATACCAGCCAGAGCTCTGGAGTCAGGCAGGTCTGGTTCAAATCCTAGCTATGCCACTAAAGGCCATGCAACCTTGGGATAATTAATTTTTCTGGTTTTCAATATTCTTACCCATCAAACGGGAACAGTATCCCAGAGTAACTGCATGAAAGAAATGAGATTATACATGTAAAGATCTGAAGATAATGCATTTAATAAATCCTAACTATTCACATTATTGCATCTGTATATATTTTAATTTTGTACAACATTGTCTTTTTCACTAGTCACACGAAAAATACATGAAAGTGCTCTGGTAATTTTAAAGCATTATATAAATTAAAGGTGTCATTGGTAATAATCTCATATGCATTTCTTAACCCTTCCATTTCCTTGAAGACTGAGACTACATCCCATGTCCCACAGCACATTGCACAATGACGGGCAAACAATACGCCCTCAGTAAGTCTTTCTTGTTTGACCGAAGCAACATGGCTTAGCATAATGAGCACAGACATCAGGAGACTAGGCTGGGATGAAATTAGTTTAAGGCAGGAGAGCCAGTCTGCAGTCATAATTTATTCATTCAACAAGTATTTGTTGAACACATTCTATGTGCTAGATATTGAGTTCGGATAATTTCATCAAAAGAAGATTGTACAAGTTCTGACAAAGCCAAGCCCCTGGGCGGTCTCCACAATCCCAGCCCACTCTTAAAAGCACAAAGGCTGCAGCCACCATTGTCTGCCACTGGACAAATGGCCAATTGCTTTGGGGGAAGCCCCATCCTGCCTGGCTGTAAGTAGCTCTGACTGAGGGTTGGAGGAAGGAGTAAAAGTGAGGGAGCGGGCTGCTTACAGAACTGACAAGAACTACTATCTGTTAATTTATTTTTATTTACACTGAATCAGTCCACAGTTCATTCCCCTAGTCTATATGATGCTCTTTCCCCGGTCATCATCTTTCCCTCCCTGTCACCTACACAGTCACCCTGTCCCAAACCTTGGCCCACTTCATCCTGCCCTTCTGCGGTCACAGCTGCCCGCTGGGTGGGAGTCCGGGGGAATGGTATGTGTGGTCACCAGAGGGCACTGAGTGGGCTTCAGTGGCATGTGAATCCTGGCAGAGTCTCGGATCCCTGACGGGGAGAGGAGAAAGCACAAGCCAAGACAACGAGTTGGGGAAGGAGGCAGGGGCTAAGGTGACTGGTTGGGGGTGAGGGGTGGGAATTCCAGTGTACACGTTCACAGTCTCTATGTCGGCTTCACCAGTGCTTCTGCTGTTTGTCTCGTCCCTGGATTTCGAACAGTTGCCTTGAGATGCTCTGGCTCTGGTCTGTCAGGAAGGTGTGGAAGGATCCAGCCCATGGGCTGTGTGCCTGCTGCCTATGGGATGGTATACTTGCCAGGCTCCGCCTCTGTCAGAAGCACTGGCCAAAGTCAAAGCCACAACAGCATCCCAGCCCGCGAGACTCCTCTCCAGCTGTCCCAGCAGAAGCCGGGCCCCTCTCAGTCGCTGACCTGCCAGAGGAGAGGATGTCTCCAATGTCTGGGCAACCTACCGGATTCCAAATTTGCATCTCTCCTTCTTTTCACACTGGGAGGAGACAAAGAGTTGGGGTGCAACAGGAGGAAAAACGGGGAGCCAGAAGAAGTGGGGAGAAAGGGACAGAACCCAGGACAGGGCTCTCCACCAGGGGGTGTCTGGAAGTCCCCGGTGAGGCGTGGGCGCAGCTCTGGAGCTGCTTCCTGGTTACATGGCTTCTTTCTCTCTCTGGGAGCATCGGCTGAGCTTCATCTCCGTCAGCTGGATATACCGAATCACGTTGGTGTCTGTGAGGAGAGAATAAACCTTAGGGAACACCAGGTGAGGGCAACTATCACATTTACACAGAATCAGCAAAGGCTGTGTCTGCAGACAACCAGCAGGCCAGGCTCACCCAACCAAGGTCCCTTCCGCCTATCTATGGTGGCTGAGAGGGCAACTAGGTGTTGGCCTTCTCCTTCACTGCCTCCCCTTAGCAAATGTGGACAGGTTGGCATGACCCAGGGGACATGAGAGAGGATGGGTGGGAGAGGAAAGATAATTTCTCTCCTCCTTTCTATGCAGCAGCATATCCCAGTGGTTTGCCAGCCAGCGCAGTTAGTTTAGTGAGACCCCAGTTGGAGTTTAACAGCAGGCAAGTTGCCACCTTCTCTGAGCCTCCTGTCCCATCTGCAAGAAGCAACCTCCACTTTTTTTTTTTTTTTCTGTTTCTGAGATGGAGCCTCGCTCCGTCGCCCAGGCTGGAGTGGAGTGGCGCAGTCTTGGTTTGCTGCAACCTCCACCTCTCAAGTTCAAACAATTCTCCTGCCTCAGCCTCATGAGTAGCTGGGATTACAGACACATGCCACTGTGCCCCGCTAATTCTTGTATTTTTAGTAGAGACGGGGTTTTATCATATTGGCCAGGCTGGTCTTGAACTACTGACTTCAGGTGATCTGCCTACCTTGGCCTCCCAAAGTGCTGGGATCACAGGCATGAGCCACCGTGCCCAGCCAACAAGCTCCATTTTTGAATGCGAACTTGTGCCAGGTTTCTAACCTTCATGATCTCATGTAATCCTCACTACAATCCCGCAAGGTATGTATCCTCCTCCTCACCGTGACAAAATGGAATAGGGATCTTGAGAGATTAAGTCAGATGCCCAAGGAGACACATAGTAAATTGTGTGTCTGGCTGCAAAGCCTGCCTCTCCTGAGGACTGTAATACCTGCCTCATGATATTGCTCTGAAGCCCAAAATAGGTAAGTCTAAAAGTGCTTAAAACAATGATCAATAAATATTAATCTAATGTAATTTTTTTTTAAGCTTGAAGAGTTTAAAATGACTTTGCTTCATTGTTTTATTTTTGTCCTTATAAGTAGGGTCAGATGACCACCTCACCAAAACAGGGGCATTTCTTCTCAGTTCCTGTTATTAGTGAGGAGGGCACGGCATGGAACAACTGCTAAGTTCCACACACACCAGAACATAAGAGTGATGGGGTGCCTGGAATAGTTACTTCTGGAAGTAAAAATGAATACTATATCATGCTAAAAAATGCCAGGCGTATCCTCCAGAACAGTGCTGGCAGACAGCGGTGCTCCAGAAAATTCTGTTGAATGAGTCCAATGCTTAGTCTTCAAGCTGCTTACAGTTGGTGGAACACAATTTATCTACAGAAAATAAATCAACAACAAGGTGTTCTTTAAAAAGATAAAAAAAAGTATACATTTAGACGTTTGTAAATTGATCCTAAAGTTCTTTAAAAACTTTTGAAAGGAGGATTGTATTAAAAAAAAAAAAAAAAACAAACAGGCTGGGTGTGGTGATTCATGCCTATAATCCCAGCACTTTAGGAGGCTGAGGCAGAAGGATTGCTTGAGCCCAGGAGTTCAAGACCAGCCCTGGCAACATAGCAAGACTTCGTCTATACAAAAAATAAAAAATATTAGCCAGGTATGGTGGTGCATGCCTGTAGTCCCAGCTATTGGGGAGGCTGAGGTGGGAGGATCATTTGAGCCCAAGAGGTGGAGGTTGTAGTGAGCTGAGATCATACCACTGCACTCCAGCCTGGGTGACAGAGTGAGACTCTGTCTGAAAAAAAGAAAAATTAATCATATAAACAACAACAATAGCAACATCTAGTCAAGGTTGTTGTTTAAATGTTACTTCCTCAGAGAGGTTCTTTCTGACCACTTGGTCTAAAATAGCTCCCCACCTTTACTCTTTTTTTTTTTTGAGACAGAGTCTCACTCTGTCACCCAGGCTGGAGTGCAATGGCACGATCTTGGCTCACTGCAACCTCCACCTCCTGGGTTCAAGTGATTCTTCTGCCTCGGACTCCTGAGTAGTTGGGACCACAGGCGCGTGCCACCATGCCCAGCTAATTTTTTGCATTTTTAGTAGAGACAGGATTTCACCATGTTAGCCAGGATGGTCTCGATCTCCTGACCTCCTGATCCACCCACCTCAGCCTCCCAAAGTGCTGGGGATTACAGGCGTGAGCCACCGCACCCAGCCTTACTCTTTATTTTTTTTTTTTAGACAGGGTCTTGCTGTTGCCCAGGCTGGAGTACAGTGGTGCCATCTTGGCTCACTGTAGCCTCCGCCTTCCAAGCTCAGGTGATCCTTCTGCCTCAGCCTCCCAAGTAGTTGGAATTACAGGTGGCCACCACCACACCCAGCTAATTTTTGTATTTTTAGTAGAGACGGGGTTTCATCATGTTGGTCAGACTGGTCTTGAATTTTGGAGCTCAAGCGATCCACCTGCCTCGGGTTCCCAAAGTGCTGGAATTATAGGCATAAGCCACCACACCCAGCCCTCTGTTTATTCTTGATCTCTTTATTCTGCTTTATTTTCTTCACAGCGTTTATTACTACTAAATAGTTCATTTGTTTACTGTCTGTTTGCTTGTTTACCGGTTGACTTCCAGTCATCCCTTGGTGGAGAGTCCCTCCCTGGGTTCTGTCCCCTCTCTACACTTTTTTTCCCACTTACCATGGACAGTGAGCCATTATAATATAAGCTCTTTGAAGGCAACAACTTTCTTTGTTCACTACTATATACCTAGCAACATTGTACCCCCTCAGTAAATATCTGTAGAATGAATGAATGAATGACTGGTGGATATGATCTAAGTGAATGGTATAGATTACACATGTCCTAAGGATTAGGATCTGACTGGAGGAGTCAGAGCATGCTTCCTGAAAGGTGCTGGGCTTAGCACCAAATTTGCCTGTTTGTCTTCTGTGTCATCAACCAGACGTGAGCTCCTCATGGGTAGGGACCATGTCTTTTCATCTATTCCCTTGGTGCTCAGCACAAATCTTGGCACATAGTATGAATTCAATATATATTTGTTGAATAAGTGAAGAGAGCTGGATTCTGAGTTGAAAAAGATGAGGAATTCTCTACTCTATTTTAAGAGAAGAGGTGCCCATGCTCCCTGGAACTCAAACCCTAGGCAAATGCATGGGCTGTGTGCTCCTCTTACTTACGTCTTATCATATATCTGATCCCTAATTTTGCCATCTCTGCCCCTGCCTGGCCCTCCTAGCCAAGAAAACTGCTGCAACGAGAAGGTTCCAGGAGCCACCAGAGCGGGGAGGAAGTAAGAAAACGGCTATTTCCGCCTTACCTGTTGGTTGTTGGGTCCTTGCTTCTTTCAGGTAGTAGAGTGCTTTGTCATAGTCCCCAAGGTGGTAGAAGGCCACACCAGACCGGTAAAGGGCCTTGAAGTTCTCTCCTTCCTTCTTCAAGACTTTGAGGCAATATTCCTTGACTCGTTCATAGTTTACCAGCTCAGCCTGGAGCAGGCAGGCTATGGAGGAAGGGAGGGAAAATGCCATCAACACAACAGCGGCCGGCTCTGCATGTCTCCCTTGAGTTCCCTCTCTCCAGAGGTTTAGCAGGGTTGGGGTTTTCCACTGGGGTTTATGTCGTGGGATTTGTCTTCCAATAATCCTAGGCTCCCCGACCAGTTTCATCACTAACAAGCCATGTTAACAAGCCTTGAGCAAGTCACTTAACCTTCTGTTATGGGTTGAATGATGCCCACCCTTCCACCATGAAAAGATATGTTGAAGTCCTAACCTGCAGTACCCAAGAATGTGACCTTATTTGGAGACAGGGTCTTCACAGAGGTGATCAAGTTGAGGTCATTAGAGCAGGGTCTAATTCAGTTGTTTGGGTGAGGGAGAAGGGACAAGATGGAGGAAGGTGAACAAGATGGAGCAGTCCCTGTTGTTTCCGGGTTCTTCATCACAGATATTCCCATGCCCGGGAAAAATTCCCGGGCCCGGGGGAAGAACCAAATCAACTGAGCATGCGCAGAGTGATGTCAAGCCGGGGACACCGAAATTCAAGAAGCCACTCCTACACACAGGCCCCTTCCAGCTCCCAGGCATAAAAGTCCGCCGCGGGTAAGTGCCAGTGTGACTTCTTCGGCCCTCGCATTCGTGGACTGGAGAACCTCACCCGAGAGCACCCTTTCCCGCGGACCAGTGAACCTCGCCTGAGAGTGCGTGCATATTTGCAAATAAAAGGGCTGCCACTTTCTTCGCTCGTTTTGGCCTTTACTGATATTTAGTCTTTGCATCTATTAATAATAGTAATAGAGAAACAAAACACCAGTGTGACTGGTGTCCTTATAAAAAGGGAAAATATGAACATAAAGACAGACACACACAGAGGAAAGACGACGTGATAAAACATGGGGAGAAGATAGCCATCCATAAGCCAAGGAATGCCTGAGGCTACCAGAACCTTGCAGAGAGGCATGGAACAGATTCTTCCTCACATCCCTCAGAATAACAACCCACCAGCACCTTGATCTTGGACTCCTAGCCCCTGGAACTGTGAGACCATACATTTCTGTTACCTCAAGTCACCCAGTTTGTGGGACTTTGTTATGGGCAGCCTTAGGAATAAGCTACCAGAGGCAATCATCATCATCTTCATCATCATCTTCGTCGTCATCATCACCATCATGGCCAATATTTGTTGAGTGCTTACCGTGTAGAGATGCTGGTCTCATTGTTTTACATGTATTACTGATATAATCCTCAGAATACTCTGATGTGGATACTATTATTGTTTCAGTTTTACAGGTGAGGAAGTTGAGGCCCAGAGAGCTCAAGAAATTTCCCAAGGTCACACAACGTGAAAGAGGCAAAGATGGGATTTAAACCGAAGCTGTCTGGCTCCAGAATCCAAGTCCTTCCTAATCTAGTTGTTGGAGGGATTATGTAAAATAATGGCTATAAAGTACTTAACGTGGGTTTGGCACATAGCAAGCATGAAAAAAATGTTAGTTAACATTCTTAGAATTCTTTTTAGCCTTGTACCAGTAACATCTGCCTCTGAATTCCCTCAAGTTCCCTTTCATATATATTTGTCTCTGCAGTTCCTGAGAAAAGGGGCTTTCTGGTAGGCTAGTGACCAGCTCATACAGGGCACATGTCTGGACATGAGAGACCTAGGTGTCCCAGGCAAGAGGAAGCTATGGCAGGCAGGTCTTATGGTAGAGAGCCCTCCCCATCCCACAAACAGCCATCTTTGAGTAAACTGTGTCCCTTTGAAGCTTTCTCTTACCAGCTCTGAGCCACAGGGAGCCACAGGGCTGGGACTAGTGTGATGACACGCCTGGAGGATGACTAAATAGCCTTGAAGAATGATTGAAATTTTGTGCCCTAGGCACCTCCCTCTAATCCCAACCCTGCTGAGCCACCTCACCTCCATTTAACCACTCAAATATCTAGTAGGCATTGACCAAAGGCAAAGAATGTTGTATATTTGGAGGGATTACAAAAAAAGAGACAGGAAAAAGGCACCTGTCTGCTTCTTCAAAGCACATAAAACCAGAGACTTAGGAGGCAAAACTGGTGCTTCTGTTCACAACCCGACTGGGTGGCTGGGGGAAAATGCTGATGCTCCGTTCCTTCTTTGTGCCCAGACTTTTCCACACTGACAGAAGACACCTCAGGATAGAGACAAGTCACTGATTTCAATCTTCAGGGATCTAACTTCAGTCATTCTGACTCCTTAAGTAACTTCTCAGGTATCAGAATTGCTGAGATTTTTTTAAGAGACCAGACTTTTCTTTGAGCATTTAGGACCAAAAAAGTCCATTCTTTCACAGAATGAGGAGAAATACACAGACTCTCAATATGAAGGTATGAGAACCAGGAAGTGAAAGAGAATCAGCCCAGATCTAGAAACTGACCTGTCAGGTTTCACTGGCTGCAGGGCAGAAAGCCAAGTCAACAGAAGCAACAGGCTGCTAACCCCCTGAGGGCAGCTCCTGTTCACCCAGGACTACAATCTTCTGGTGCGCCAGGGGGTCCTTCTGATCAGCTGATGCTACAAGCCCCGCTCCCCTCCCCTCCCTCCATGGTGGGGTCTTAGGCCCTTCTGTTCCCTTCCTCACCCCCATGTTGTTGGAGCCTGTGCTGGTGCTTATACGGCTGTACAAAGAGAGAGAGGGGTTTCTGTACAAAGGTTCCTGGATGTGAACCTCAGTGAATGCTACTTGTGTGGACTTGGCTCCAGCACCTGCTCCCAGAGCTAAAAGCTGTCCTGTCCACAGCTTCCACACTCCCTGTCTGATGTCCTCTCTGACCAGGCCCAGCAGCCCTCTTCCTGTCCAGCCCTCCCTCTTCAAACAGACACTTCTGTTTGCTGACCCTGGCAGTCTAGGAAAAGGACCTTTGTTTTGTTTTTTTTTTTCCTTTTTTTTTTTTTTTTTTAAACAGTTTTTGAATGCATAAAATGGTGGTGACAGGGGGAGGGGAAGCAAAGAGGCCTGGAAATGGGGAAGGCTCCTCACTCCCACAAAGGGTCAAAGGAACCACAGCAATCAATTTTCGGCACTTATTTGGTAAAAACATTTCTAGGTCCCCTGCAGATCCGGTGGGAACTGGCATACCTGGCTGTGGACCAGGATTCAGACCTGGGGGGAGGCAGGGCTAGGCTGGTTATAGGGTGTGCAGCCTCAGCTGACACGAGAGGCAGGGCCCAGAAAGATGGAGAAATGGCTGGGCCAAGAAGTGGAATCTGGATAAGATGTTGGGATGCCAGGCCAGGACTCTTTTTTTTTTGAAATGGAGTCACGCTCTATCGCCTAGGCTGGAGTGCAGTGGTGCGATCTCTGCTCACTGCAGCCTCTGCCTCCTGGGTTCAAGCAATTCTCCTGTCTCGGTCTCCCGAGTAGCTGGGACTACTACAGGTGCCCGCCACCATGCCTAGCTAATTTTTGTAGTTTTAGTAGAGACGGGGTTTGCCATATTGGTCAGGCTGGTCTCGAACTCCTGACCTCTGGTGATCTGCCTGCCTCAGCCTCCCAAATTGCTGGGATTATAGGCATGAGCCACTGCACCCGGCCCAGGCCAGGACTCTTAAGGGAATCCAGGGGTGGAGGGGGTGAGAGCCAGGCGGGAGACTGGCCCCAGTGCTACCTCCAGGTGATTTTTAGGCACCTCTCTGCTTTTGGGTGGGTAGCTACTGGTACATCTAATAAGCCCATGGGATAGGTCAGATGGCATGACAGCAGGCACATGTGAGGGTGGAAGAAGTTAAGAAGAGGTGGACTGGCTGCCTCCTGATTGCTCCTTCCCCATCCCTGTAGCCATTAGCCAGGACCTGGCGTTGCAGTGGACCTCAGGATAAGTGGTATCACTCCACAGTGTGTTCTCCTCATGGTTATTAATCCCTTCTCTGGTGTCAGAGGTGCTAAATACTTCACATACACTATGTCTTTTTAATCCTCACATCAACTCCATGAAACAGGTTCTATTTTTATCCTTCTTTTATAGATGATGAAACTGAGTTCCAGAGAAATGAAGTAACTTGCTGAAGGTCACCCAGCTGGAAGGTGGTAGAATTAGGATATCAGCCCACTTCTGTCAGGCTTCCAAGACTGTGCACTTGACCTCTGGGGTGTCTGTGGGGCTGCATTTGAAGCCATTGGAAACCCACACAGCCCCTGGGGAGAAAGAGAGGTCATCTGTGGAAACCCCCTTCTGCTGTGTTCCAAAGCTAACAAGCAAAAATTGATGCCTAACTGCTGGACACTGCGTGGGGCAGTGGGATCAGGTGATGAGCTGACATCCTCCCCACCCACCTGGGGCTAACAGATGGGCAGGGAGGGCAGAGGTCATATTATCTCAAATATTCACATGTGGGTTAAGTGCTATGAAGGACAAAGGTAGAGAAGGAGCATACCCAGGCAGGAGGGGCCTTACCTTGATCTAAGGTATAATGGGAGGCCTTCTTGGAAGAAGTGGTATTTTAGCTGGGATCTAAAGATTGGGTATTTCTCAGCCTCAGCACTATTGACATTTTGGACTAGATGATTTTTTTGTTACATGAGGATGTCTTGAGCCTTGCAGGATGCTTAGCAGCTCCCCTAGCGTCTTCTCACTACATGCCACTTGTGACAGCCAAAAAATGTCTCTGGAAATTTCCAAGTATTCCCTGGGTGGTGGGGTGGTGGTAAAATCACTCATGTCTGGGAATCACTGATCTGGGTGAAATTGAGACGTTTTCAAGGCAGAGCCCAGAGAAAGAGAGTGGGCGAGGGTGAATGGACTGTTTGAGAAAGTTTGGGAAGCCATGCCTGCAAGGCTGGAGCAGAGAACCAGAGGGAAGGGTGAAAGAGGTAAAGCTGGAAAAGAAAGAAACCAGGACACAGAGACCCTTCTGGTCCACGTAGAGGACCTGGGACTTCATTGTGAGGCAAGAGTGGATTTGGATGATGAAATGATGGTGACTCATGGGGCCAAAGTGGAGGCAGACAAGCAGGAAAAACGGATCAATGTAAGT